TCAGAGAAACCAATGGGACTGATTATGGGATTTGGATGTAAAAGCACAGAAAACTCCACATGTCATCTTTCAATAAAGGATATAAATAGTTTACACAAAATGTTTCTGATTCTGTCGTCCTCTGTTACATACATACAATACATCCTCCGCTCTGCGCGTTGCCCGACCGACACCTCTGTGCAGCCGTGCGGGTGTGCATGAGCATGTGCACGCACGTGCACGTGCTGCATGCATGAGTCTGCAGTGTGCGCCTGCCTAAGAGTGAGTGTGTTCCCCTAAAGGTGCGCCTGTGGACCCTGAGACGTCCCTCTGCCTCTACTGTCAGGCGCCGCTCAGCAGTTTCCCTCCACGGCTTCTTAACGGTCTGGGGAGCAATGTACCCTCCCGTCCCTCCTCCGCACGCCGACACAACCCGCTGACCCAACCGGGGCTAAAGGTCAGCCAAGAGCCCACAGCCAGCAGCACAGCAGTCACTCTGGAAAAACTTTCCTTGGTTCCTCTGCAACGCTCTCACTGAGATTCAAGCTTGAATTTACAAAGCTGTAGGAAGACACTTGCCTGTGATAGTTTTTTTCCCCCCTTTTGTATATTTTCCTATTTCATAAGGGTTTAGGTCTTTTAGTGATTAAGTAGGTTGATGGATGGATGTCATGTTGACCGTTCTGTCCAGTGTGATGAATCAGCACACAGTGGTCGACACGCACTGTAATATTTGGATACCATTATCATTATCACTATCCTCATCATCATTATGGCTAACCTGTAAAACACAAAAGATAAGATGAAAGACACAACTGCTCACGTTGTGACTCTATCAACAGTCAGTCGGGTACCGAGGTGGGACCCTTGATGGGACCCTTGATGGGACCCTTGATGGGAAACAGTTTATGGGAAGTGAAAGACACAAATCTGCTGCAGGTCCCAACTGACAATATGGATGAAATCCTATATATGTCACAGTAAGTAGAATCACACTACTGATATACTATACAGTGTATCCCTCCACCCATCTGCTTTCTGTAACCCCTCAGGGTCGCAGAAGGGTGGGGCAGTCGGGTGGAGCTGATCCCAGCTAACATTGGGCAGAGGCGAGGTTTCCCCGTGGACAAGTCACCGTCGCACAGTCGCAGGGCGGGAAACTACCACTGGCGCTCACGTTCGCGTTAATTTACGTCCCTCCATAAACCAGAGCTTCACGTCTCTGGACTGTGGGGGAGAACCCGCAGAAACCGACACGGGGACAACCAGGCACTCTCCACCCAAAGTGGCCGTCCATCACGGAACGACAGCTTGTATCACGCGTAAAGGCAAGCCATGCAATTTCACTACCACTAAGTGCATCTTCGCTAATTCCAGCCTCACCTTGGCTGCTACACTCATCGAGACATAAACGGCCACTTAGACAAACTCAGTATATCTCCAGGAAGCAGAGGCGGCATGAATGTTTGATGGAAATTGTAATGAAGATGATTCCGTATGGATCAAAGAGGTACACCGATCAACCGGTTTGCCATCCATACAACCACTAGCTAGCTAAATAATATGTAATATGTTTACCCACAATGACCTAATTCCCCCAGAGACATTAAAGGAATAGTTAACACGCTAAATATTATAAGTCAGCAATAGAAATATGCTCATCATCCTGACGTCTTTAGATGCTGTCCTCATTTGTGCAGCTTTGGACAATAATCATTTTCAAATTCCGAAGTGCAGCCTCTTCATTACTGAGGCTGCGTGATGCTGAAGACACCGCATGTATTCAGTTTAGTAATAGACACTATACAGGCGACAGAGACACAAGTGAGCGAGACGCTACATCAAAGGTGAGGCCGAGAATAAAACCCCATCCTGCGGTGGCCTTAATCCTTCAACACCTGTGATTTGAAGCACACGTCTTTGATGTTGTTGGTTTCAGCCGCAGAGAAAGAGACTTGATGGTGAGACAGAAAGAGAACGAGAGAGACAAATGAAGGCTGAACTAAAGTTAATGCAAGACACGGATTGGTGTGGAAAGAGAATCATCTCTAATAATAGTAATAATAATAATATAGCTCCAGTAGCTCCGGTGACGTTTACTGCTCCATCTCTGCACTGGCAGAGCACTGTGAGAGAATGCTGACTGAATATCTGATGTCTGCTACAGCAGATGAAATATAAAGACAAAGCCAGCAGCGGTTCACGAGGACACAAGTTGTCATTGAGCTTGTCCAGAGAGCGCTAGACGTTGTTTCGTTCAGACCTCTCAATGATACAGACCTCCCTGTAACAGATGATCCTCCACAACACACCACGTGTCTCCAGTCCTCACATTGGAGAGGATTCTGCTTGAATTCCCCAGTGAATCCCTCACACGGCCACAGTGTGAGGTGCAGAAAAAAACAAAGCAATCCAAGACAAACTGAAACCAGGCCAAGCTGAGTCTGCGGGAAGACATCAAAGAGCACATCTCTGTCGGGATTACAGTGATTCTCATTGGTGGGGAACATCTATCTCACCTTTTATTGGTTCTATTAGTTTCGGCCTCTAAAATGAGAATATTGTGATATTAAATTGAATGCATTCGGGTTATTGATTGCTGTTTGGAAAAACTAGTGATACAAAAGGGCCACTTTGGACTCTGGGAAAATGAGACGGGTTTTGCTAGCTTCTGAAATTAAAAGAATAGATGAACCATTGAATTAGTTAATCTAAATAACCATTGTTGGATGAGTGAATGAAAATAAACCGTGAGTTGCAGCGCTAAAATATTCTGCCACTGGCAGCAATATGACAAAAACAATGGCAGTACAGTATTGTAGGCTTCCACACAATGGAACCATTTCATAAGGGACAGCGGGGAGACGGATGAGCCCCGGGCTGCCAGCTCTGCCACCGCCGGCCATTTACATTGTCCGGCAGAATGGAAGCTGAAGGGACTAAATCAGCACAACGGAAAACAAAAGGGAGGCAGAGCCCAGATCCTGTCATTTTAACATAATTCAGATTATGTGAATTATTTCCTGGACATCAGAATACACACAAACCCACAACAAGCCAAAGTCAGAAAAGACACGTAAAATGAAACAGCTGTAGCATGAATGCAATATAAACAATGAATAAGAGCTGCTGCTGAAACTCAGGATTATTTTCTCTAAATATGATAATTAAAAAAACTAACAATCCACAACCCGAAGGTATTTTATAAGAAATTGACATATTTAGTCATTCTTATTGATTCTTATTGATAACCAATGACTTGTTAATTAAATTAGGGCTTCAGAAAACTATTAATTGCATTATGGATTACAGTCAAATTCAATTTCCAGTATTATTATATATTTTTATTTTGGACAATAAAAACAAAGAGGTAACAAATTCAGATCTTTCATATTATTATATGTGTTTTGAGTGCATAGTTCAATCGACAATGGATAGATGACACATTTGATCTCCTGTTCTTTTGCTCATGTTAAACCTCAGTGCATGTACCACCAACCAGCCCCTCTCTACGCAGCTTTGTTCTGAGCCGAGCATGTTGGGGGGTTGGGTATAAGAAACAAGGTGTGGCTTCGCTGTTGTCATGGCAACATAGTGAGACCCCACTCAACCAGTCACTGTATGGAGAGGAGGAACTCAGTCTCCATCCAATGACAGTACATGTGCAGGCAAGATGAGCAAACTATTACAAACATGCATGCAGTAACCTCCATGGAGAACAATTCATCAGACCTAAAATAGCCTGAAATACATCCTACACCCTTCCCTTTAGTGACGGAGGAACAGACTCAATGGTTTCTCAACGTTCGAATGAGCACGGCAAACCATCAGTTTTCCTGCAACCTCGCTGCACAGCAACATCTTCCTTAATAGGCTGCCACTGTTATGAAACGCAAGGTTACACAACATTATTGGGTTCTCTGTGTGCGCCTGTGTGGCAGCGATGAGCGCAAGACCTGCAGACAACCCCAGCGAAGATGTTATGGGTATTCTGTCATACGTCTACATGCTGTCGAAAACTGCTGTGCAGAATGCGAGTGAATTGACACGATAGTACACAAAGAGTGTTTTAACCAGCATATTATATGTAACAGACTCAATGTAGCTCCAATAAGATTTGTGGTTGCTGAAAAAGTGCTATATTGCTTACTACCAATGTTAATACACATTGTAATTGTCCTCACCAGGTGTGATTTTATTAAAAACTGAGGAACGTACCCTCCGTTGCGTACATCTAACCAACTAGAAGCTGTCACTGGCACAACATCAGCTACTTTTAAAATACCTGGCATAGCATATACACTTCCTGTAGAAGCTGAAGCACTTCAATGGCAGCAGCACAAATGAAATGGAATACAGTCATAACAATCTTGATCAATACAGGAATTTACCTGAAATATGTAGTGAGCCGGATTCTTAATTGCAACGAGCCTTATAAAATGGATCATGACTTGATGGTCAACGTTATATGTTACAAAAGATTTCCACCTGGTGGTGAAATATAGTACTGCAATAAAATGCTGCAGGGTGAAATATAATCAATTCTCAAAAAATGGATGGACAAACATAACAGATACTATGCAACTAATTTCTTATTCATAGTCACACGATCTTAAGCCACTTTAACAACATGGGATATTGTGAACAAAATGTTGCACTCTTCACAACCATTACCTGAAACCTGAAAAACACATAATAAAGGCACACTCAAAGTATGGCTATAATTGAAATAAGACGGTTAAACACTATATATTTCCACAACGTCCGAATGCATCGCCTCACATTGCAACGTTAACGTTTGCTAGCTGACTTAGCTGACCGTTGCTAACTAGAAGATAGCTTTGGCAACTATCATTAGCAACTGGGGTTAGCTAGCTCTACGGCCAAGGCCGTATGTTTCGATAACGTTACCTTAGCTTAACACACACTTTATGTATGTGATGCAATAAAACATGACGAACCAAATAGCCAACAACGTTAGCTTAGAGACGTCTGTTTATCTAAATAACCAAATTTCCGATAGTCTTTGAATGCAGCAGAGTGGTTTCAGCGCCAAACGACAGCGCGCAATTCTTATATTCAGTCTACGAGTCCTTCATCGACAAAAGATGGCTGTAGAGTTAAAATCTTTAAATATTTAAAACCATAGGGCTGCTGTTATGTTTAAGAATAAGTCTGCCTGGTTTTCCAGCAGCGTGACAAAGTCATGTCACAACTTCTGGAGTAAGTAGGTGACCTCACTATTTCCTACCATCAAGTAGGCAATGCTAACGCTAGTTTAAATCCGTTAACAACCGCTGATACAAACATACACAACGAAATAATGAGGTAATGTGACACGGTTTCCTACAAAGATGCCACCACAAGCAATCATGGCTTATTATATTTTAAAGGAGAGAAATATGAGTTATAATGTCAATGTCACAGATCTAACGTTATGGGATCTGTCATTCATTTACTACCTAGAATTACGTTGGCATTTCAAAACAGAAACATGGTTTTAGTAGTTTGATCTTGCTTTTTGGTACATGTCGTGTAGTAGTGGAGGGTGGTGCCATTGCTGGCTGGAGAGAAGCAGATTACCTTTTCAGTGAGGATGCTGCATGTGCTGATACACTGAGGTGAGCGGGATCAAGCAGATCATTGGTCAGTCCAATTTATAAAATCGCCAAACGCTTTACATTGGACATTTTCATTTTTAATTGTGTCTTTATACTGTTGCACGGTGTGCATTTTTATGCACAAGTCCGATTCATTGTATGTGCTGACATACTTTGACAATAAACTGGCCGTAATTCATCTGAAGCTGTAATCTCACTTTTTGTTTTTCAGAATATTCGAGAGCAAAGATTATCTCTGGAACAAGGTTGTGGTTTTTCACAGCTTGTTTCTATCTGCGTGTGAGAAGCGCCACAGCGTGAGGTCTATGTGCATTGGTCACTATGTGCTGCCTCCGGCTTCCGTGCAGGAAGGTGAGAACGAAAATGTTGATTTGTTGTAAACCATACGTAATCCTTCATCCCTGTTTGCCAACCTTCAGATCAAGATTAATAGTGAGGTCAAAACAAAATATTGAGGGTGTAAAATGATTAACAAAATGTCTTGCACACCAACTATGTTTGTATATTGTGTTCTGTATTTTCTTTCTTTTTTGATGTCGAATACAGGATGTTTTAAACTCTTCAGGTGTTTAAAAAACAATGTTTGGACTTCTCGCAACTCACAGACATAATCAGCTTCAAATGAAAGTGAATTGGATCAACAATAAGAAACGGGAGCCGCTCTTAACAAGGGTTACTTTTTTTATCGTCGTAGAGGTGAGACATGTGGTCGGGAGGTTGATTTGGGAGTGTGAGGGTGAGCAGTCAGCGGTGAAGGTAAATAAACCAGGCAAATGTACACAAGTCACATCATGTAGCCTGAATCACTCAGTTGGACTTCCTTTGGTTTTACAGGGTTTCCGTCAGAGGTTTAGTATGCACACAGAGAACGAACACAGGGAAGTCAGCAAAAGCGAGTATGTTGACATTCCACAGTAAATATAGGATATTGGTTCTAACTCAACTGCAGCAATTTATTGAAGTCCCTTCCCTCCTATGGTAGTTCTGAACGATCTGATGACACAGATTCATCCGACAGTGAAGCCCCTCTACGTGCTCAATATCCAGTTAGCAACACGCTCTCCGGTGATTATCACTTCCTGCATGTTTGAGAAAATGTTGCTAATAATAATAGATAATTGCCCTGTGTGGTGTTAGCAGTGTTGTTGAGTGTGTAAATATAACACTGTATATTTCTGTTCACTTGTACAGGCTATGTCGGCATTGACAAATTGCAGAAATATTCAGGTGATCTGTGTGAGTTCCAGCCCGGATGTTTCAGATGCTCCAACTGTAAAGCCCACTGCTGCCTGCCACACACTTGAGCAGAGCAGAGAAAAACGCCTTAATAGATGAGCAAGTAGCAGATGTGACTGTTCCTCATATTCCAGTTTTAAGCTGCAGTTTACTTATTTTGGTTGTGTATTTTGCAGGCGTTGCCTTGCACATGTGCGTGTGTGTTGTAGATGTATACACTGACACAAAATAAATAAGTGACATACAAGTGTAAGATCTACAAATTGCTTCATTCCTCAAACAGTCGCTAGAAAGTTCTTTCCAAATTACTTTCTCAATGTTTTTTTCCACAGATATTTTTATTTAATTTGGAAACTTTGATAAGAATTGTTCTTCTTACACCGGTTTTGCTGGAATGTAATCAAACCAGGGAAACCTTGAGGGTTACAGAAATATATTCTTACCACATTGGAAAAATATCTTATTATAATCTCATCGCTTATCCATGCATTTATGTCATAGAAGAACATGCCAGGAGAACCAACCAATCGTGTTGGGCAGAGACAACGCAGAAGGGTTTTATGTCAATTAAATGACTGCATATCGACAATGAGGGCTCAGTGGAAAGCTCCAATCAACATCATCGTCATGTAAACGTCCATTAATGTAATATCGAGGCGGTAATGTAATAAGAACAGATGAAAGTCTTTACGTTGTAGCGCCCCTCCCTGCAAAGTGGTCTCTCCCACTCTCTCGCGCTCTCCTCGGCCAATCACATGCTTTGTTTTGGTACCGCCCCCTCGACCAGGAAGACGAAACGCGCATGCACCTTTTCTGGACTTTGACAAGAACGGGGAGATCTGTCCCTGGACTTCGTTCCTCTGTCTGCTTCTTTCTCACATTCTCTCATTGCTGCATCCGTCATGGCGGAGGGAAATCTGTCCGTGGTGCTGCACGCGCCAGGAGACCTGCGGGTGGTAGGAGACTGATCTCAAACACTGCAATCACTTGCATCATTGCCGTTAGTTATAGTCTGATTGAATTGAAGTAACACGCTGTTTTGATATTTCTCCTTCCCCAGGAAAATCGACCCATCCCGGAGCCGGGGCCTAATGGTATGACATTCGTTTGTAATTAAGCTGTGATGTACAGTTTATAGGCCACCAGTAGTAAGAAATATGTGAAAATGATGTACATTCTTTACAAGGTTATAATATATTGAATTAATACAGTTATTATGTATTTCAATGATTAGGCTGGATGGCCACCTGGAATCATGCTGATCTTTAATATCTCTCTTCGACATGGTGACAATATACACTTTCTCGTCAGCACTTGACTGTGTGTGTGTGTCATTATGCATCCAGAGGTTTTGCTGCAGATGCACTCTGTAGGAATCTGTGGATCGGATGTTCACTACTGGCAGCACGGACGAATTGGAGACTTTGTGGTCACAAAACCAATGGTGTTGGGGCACGAGGCCTCGGGGCGGGTGGTGAAGGTCGGATCAGCTGTCAAGCACCTCGAAGCAGGTGAGTTTGTGAGCACTGCAGCAATCTGCCATCCTGTTACAGGGGAAGTTGCACTTTAACTTTCTAAAGGATATTTATAATTCACTAAATGGATCGCTTCTGTCACTCTGGTTTGTTGTCAAACTGTCGCTGCAGTGGCACAAATGCATTAAAATATTCATGGCACTGTGACGTCATACGCTGTTCATCATGTCAATGCCCCGTCCCAATTAGTGCTCACATGTTTATGGTATTGTAATGACGTTCACTCTCCTAGCTGGACAAAGTCAACTTCAGAGTATTCTTTTCTTTTAGGTGACAGAGTGGCCATCGAGCCTGGCGCGCCTCGCGAGATGGATGAGTTCTTCAAAATTGGACGATATAACTTGTCTCCTACCATCTTCTTCTGTGCCACTCCCCCCGACGATGGGAATCTGTGTCGATATTACAAACACAGTGCAGACTTCTGTTACAAGTAACAGCTTTCTCTCACAATTGTGATTTCTTTGCACCAGAGTTTAAAAAACTCCAACCGACAATCTTGCCTAACCTTTGCATACATCCCTTTTTTTTTCTTCTTTTCTCCCTCTATGTCCTTCTGCAACCGTCCAGGTTGCCTAACAACGTGACATTCGAGGAGGGAGCCCTGATCGAACCTCTGTCTGTGGGGATCCACGCCTGCCGCAGAGCCGGTGTGACCATCGGCAGCTCCGTGCTCATCTGTGGTGCAGGTAGAAATGATTGCATCAACAAGATAGAACAGACTCCCCCTCAGGGCAAACTGTAAACCAATATGAAAAGGGGCTGATAGTGTTGATGTAACGTGGCCTTGCAAGTAGCCACACGGTGGTGTGTGTAGCCACAGGAGAGAGAATCACTCTGGCACTACGGAACTTTAGTGAGGGGAAAACTACTGACCCTTAACACTCTTTGGAAGACACTTAATGTTTGACAAATCTCTTATGCTGCAAAAAATGCTGATGCACATTTGAGACACCTGCGTGGAGCATTACAAGGTACAATAGTTTCCTTTTGCTATAAAACGCAACACGAGAGGCACAATTTTTTTTAATTGTATCCCAACCAAAACATATCTAACTTCAAATGAACACTTAACACTGTCTCCGTAGTAGGAATCCTGCTTATTTCTTCTCTTCCCACAGGGCCTATTGGGTTGGTCTGCTTGCTTGTGGCCAAGGCGATGGGGGCCTCGCATGTCGTCATCACCGGTAACACACACACACACGCACACGCACACACACACCTTGTAAACATCTATCTCAACAGAAGCAAAATAACACGCAGATTCTGGGGACATGTTCTCTTCAGGCTTTTCTTTTTGTCTCCAATCTCCGTCTGCTGTGTTCAGATATGTTACCTGAGCGTCTCACAATGGCCAAAGAGTTGGGTGCAGACTTCCAGCTAAAGGTGAACAGAGGAGTCGAACCTCAGCAGCTGGCCAAGAGCGTCGAGGACCTGCTGGGCGCGCAGCCTCACGTTACCATCGAATGCTCCGGTGTGGAGAGCAGCATTCAAACTGCAATCTATGTATGTGACTTCTCAGTTTTAGATGAAGTGTAGACATATTGCATTTACTCAGGTACTGTATTACTTACAATCTTGAAATACTTTAGTTGACTGTTTTATACTCTCCTATTACGCACTTTTTGACCGCTTTAGCTGCTTTTTACTTTACATATCTCTCAGCAATTTATAATATTCTTTTGTTATATACATTAATGAATGAAAGTCAGTGGTATATTTATTGTCCCGCCAGGCAACGCGTTCAGGGGGCGCGGTGGCATTGGTGGGTGTTGGCCCTCAGATGGTCACTGTTCCTCTGATCAATGCTGCCTTAAGAGAAGTGGACATCAGAGGAGTTTTCCGCTACTGCAACACGTAAGAAAACATGTGATGGAAGCAGTTCCACTTGAGTAATTTCATTCATCTAATAACAAATTTGATAATATAAATTGATCAATCCAATAATTCATGTCCTGGAGTGAAGCTCAACTCAATCAATAATTATTGAGGTCTGCTCGAGTTGAATGTTTGTCTATCGGTGTTGCAGCTGGCCGATGGCCATCGCCATGTTGGCGTCCGGTAAAGTGAACGTGAAGCCCCTCGTGACCCACCGTTTTCCCCTGGAGCAGGCGGCCCAGGCCTTTGAGACCACGCGGCAGGGCCTCGGGATCAAGGTCATGTTGAAATGTGACCCGAAGGACCAGAAGCCCTGAACGCACCCGTCGTAATGAAGGAAACGCGACCTGCCTGAGAGCGACTCACCGCGACGAGTAGACGTAAACACTGACCGGACATTGAGCCTGTGCAAGATAACCGAGCCGGTTCAAAGAGACAAACTGATAACAGCGCGGTTCTATAACTGCAGGTCAAAGGTGATTAGGTCTTTAGACCCAACTTTTCTTAACCAAATTTTAAATTGTATAATTTTTTCTATTTTTAATTTTATATATGGCTTCTGGAGTAAAAGAATATCCTTAAATAATAACATTTTAATAAAATCATGTTGGCTTCTTATTTCATTTTCACAGAACTCGCACTACCGGACAGCCGACTCAAGAGGGACCTAGAGACTCGTGGTTTTCAAAGTAGCCATTGTCAGTATATTATATATTATCCAACATTATCAAATGTATGTTTAAAAATCAGGTTTTGCAGTTGATGACTCAAAGTAAGACTAAAATTTTGAGACAAGAAATCCAAATTAGGACTCATTACTGCTTTTATCTTTTTCTGAGGTCAAACCATTGTTGATACCTTTTATTTTTTCCCTTTCTGATCGCAATGGGCTACGAAAACAAAAAGACTAATCGTGAAAATGAGTCCGCGCCCAGACTACACTTTCATACAGCAACCTATTTTAGAACCAGTTTGTTAGAATCGGGTCTGATCCAGTCCAACAAAACCAGCCGGGTTTAGCTCAGATTTTATTTTCTTGCCACAATGACATGGAAGTACTTTACGAAGCATGCACACAGATAACGCTCATGTGGTTAAGATTTACTACAATGCGTTGCAAAACCGTCACCCAGAGCCGAGGCTTGTTTCTGTCGCAGTGTGTGATTCACAGTCCCGTCTTTCCCTCTCAAGACTCAAAGCCAACATACAGTTGGGGACATGTTTGCTGTAACTAAACCAGTGTTTTTTTGTTTTGTTTTATAGCATGAGCACAATACTACACACGTTTCTCATTATGTACAGACATTCTAATACTGCTTATGGTAATGGGACAGCTCACACAACACAGTTACATTCACAATCCACTCATAGTAAGCATGAGTTTCAGTCAGGAACACTAAAGATGAACATAACAGTAGAGTAGCACACAAAGAAACTTCATTTCCGTACATGTAACTTAGCATAGTCGATGCATGTTAATCGATTTACTCCAGGGTTTTTTTCTATTTAAATGTGTGTTGGTAGATGAGATTTTATAAAAGACTCCAGAGATTGAACTTTTGTATTGCCGTAAAATGATGAAAATCAAAAAGATATGGCGTTTCTCCCATAAACCGCTGCGGCGAGCATTGGTTTGATTCACATGTACATTATATCAACGTAGCATATCTTAAACCCAACATTTCAGACACTTAACTCGTTCACTTATTCAATGGCAACTATGATATCAGGCGTTTAGTTGTGTCTTTGCCATCGTCACAGACCACTTCAACTCGACATCAAGATCCAATAAATATTTACAATGCAAATGTGGCTCCTGCCCATCCACCACCAGCTTCACCTGCAATATTAGCAAAATATGTATTTACACAAGAAATAAATAGAGAAGAAAATGAAACTATACAAGACGTATAGTAGAAGTATCATATTGCATTACATGAGTATAAAAAATAAATTGACGCATTGATAAGTCTGTCCACGCGGTCTCACAGAAGTGACACGGAAAAGCACTGACAGGACAAATAAATTACACACTCACACACACACACACACACGCAGTCTCTTCAGCTGGTCAGATGGAAAAAGCATCTCATGTCAATAAAATGGCTGTTGCATGTTAAGTACAGACAAAGGAGAGATGATAAAGAATTAAAGTATTCATCTCAAACAAAAAGAAAAAAAGAAGAGATATGCATTGACAGGGACAAGCAGTCCTCCCCCAAGTCAAGGGTCAGCTTTGTTTTTCCCCCGTAAGGTACCGACCGATCCCAGCGGGCCGCGCGTCCTGTGGAACGGCCCCTGGCCATCGTTTATATGTACAAAGGTGTCTCCTGTCCAGTTAGCAGTCTGAACATGGCCGCCGGCATGGTCTTCATGTGAATCTGGCCACAAAAACAAAACAATCTTGATTAAAGGGACGGGCATAATTTAAGATTTCCAGCTGCAGATGTTTGAGTGTGTTATTTGTATGCAAGATAACTTTAATTCGGAGGTTGACCAACACAATAACTGTCTGGTAAATGTCCACATTTTTTCAAACTTAATGCCCCAATTTGCTTCAAACTGTGTTTTCGCCCAGTGAGTGATAACATATATCACGTGTTTTCTTGCCCTTCTTGAGGAAGGTGTGTATGTTTGTGTGCATCAGTTTAACCTCGCCAACGGAGTTCGAGAGAGCCTGGACAATCTTCTCGTGCGCGGTGGCCACCACACTCTGCCCATTGATCTCTATGATCCGGTGACCCACGCGGACCCCACCTCGCTCAGCAATGCCTCCTCGCATCAGACTGCAGATCTGACAAAACAAGAAGTAAAATGCTAAATGGATGCAACTAGCAGGTAAAAACCACGTCTGCAATGATACAGGAAGGTCATCCGCAACTGAGGCCAGGAGTTTAAAAAGGAAATGATGAAATGGAACAGCACATTACATCTTACCTAAAATAATGGAATTATGAATTATGTTACATTAACAGGAATGCGAAACGTGCACATGATTAACCAATACAAAATACACAGTAATTAACAAAAAAGGATATTACATGAATGAGAGAAACACAATTGCATAATAGATTTTAATATTTGTTTTTAAAAATGAACCATACTTACGATGCCGTTCTGGACACTGAAGCCCAGCTGATACTTTAGATCTGGTCTCTTGATGAGGACGGTGGTGACAGGAGGGCAGCTGACAATGTTCATTTTCACCTGAACCTGGTTCTTCAAGCCCTTTAACACGGAGAAACACTCAAAGTTAAATGAATTAAAGTACGGTTTTACATAAAGTATGAGGTTTATGATGTTTATTATTTAATTCTTGTGCGTGTGTCTCAGTACCTTAATGATTCCTTGACAGGTGGCGAGTGGCAGCCCCACCAGGCTGGTGTTGTTGATGGACATTATCTGGTCTCCGATGCTGAGCTTGCCGGAGCGAGCCGCCGGCCCTCCGTTCATCATGTTGGCTAAAATGACCGTGGGTAGAATGGAGCCCCATCCGGACTCCACAATCACCACGCCCAGGATCTCCCCTTTGCTCTTCTCCAGCTGCAGCTGTGGAGACGAGACAGATTGCTTTTGATGATATAATACGAACCAATCTGAGCCTATAAAGAAAGAAAAATGCTATGACACAACATTTCATCAGTTTTTGAGTTTTTATGTGAAGAATGTTGTCTGTTTGCATCAGCATGCTTGAGACGTTGGCTGCAGGTGCTCAGAAAAGCACCGAATTCAGCAGCATTAGACTCTTCACTTGCTCCCTTGCAGGGGTCACAGAGGAAATCTGTGGTGTGACAGCAGGCCTGTAGCTCAGGGGATACAGTTGGGGGGGAGGGAGGGGGTCTCACAAAATATACAGTAAAAAGGAGAACAAAGAAAAGTCTTCTGGTAATTCCTGTCATTTACACGTTCCCAAATAGTCGAAGATGAATGTCAGAATTCCCCAGGGGGTTGATAGCAGAGTGGAGTCATAGCCACTGTGGATCCGACATACAGCATCGCAGTTTGTAACATTGAAATAGAACTGACATTTTTTCCCGTTGTCATTTGACCAGCTCAAAAGAATTTGGTGTTGGTTGTTATGATGACAACGCAAGACAGTGTGTTGCTCTGCCAACAGCAGAAGTATTCTCAGAGACGAAACAACGTCTGCTGAGGCCAATTCAGAAATCTTTCAAAGCGAAATGGCCACCGCTCACAACATGCCGCTTCGTTAAATTAAATATGAACTTCTGTGGTTTAAATCTGCACCTCGAACTCCCCATCGGTGTTAATTTAGTGTTACATCGATGCTTCTACCTCACGTTAGTGTTCTATTTAGGTTGAATAAATGATTTATATTCTGGGTGCACACCAAAAGATTGAACAGTGATCAGAATGTGCACTCCTTTGTTCACTACATCACACATTAATGAAAAACATTCAACACAGTTGGTCAAGAAGCATTTGTGCTTCAAAAAGTGATGGTTTTCCCATCAATAACAATGACTCATGTCCACTAATACAGAGGCTGCCCCCCCCGTCCCACGATGACTTAGGAACATCGAAGCCCCCCCCCCACTCTCTAAATGGGTTGCACCTTTGTTATTATGAATTAACTGCATATAAAACCTAGAAATTATTATTTTTCTTTCTGAAATAAGTACATATTACCTCACTTTTCCAAATTTAGTTTATTATTATTATTTTTACTGAAAATAAAATAGCCATCAAATCAGCTTAATTTCTTTGCAAACGAGTGCAAACATTTCCCCCACATTTAACAGGAGGATCGTATTAATTTTTTATCTAAATAAGTTCACACAATCATGGTGGTGGGTTTCCAAGTGTCTTTTAACATACTCTACATACTCGGCCGTCCACAGTTACAGACTAACCTCTTTGCAGTTCTCAGAGTTGGAGAAGTGAATGAGGTCGTCATTGTACATTTCCTGGGTGTTGATGATATCGCTGTACTCCTTCTGACTCAGATCCTCGGGGTTAATGCCATTGGCTCTCAGGAACTCCTGGTAAGCTACGCTGAACGCCTGCCCGATGGACTGAGCGATAAGCTGGGCCTGCAAGCAGGAAAAGCAGGAATCATGACAGAAATGTGTTTGCGATGGAGCCACGGAGGCTTGTTTGTATACGACTCGTCACCGAGTCGTATACAAACAACAATGTAGTAGGAACAAATCAGACAATGCTACAATTTATATGAGGAGGAATGAAGATTACTGATTACAAATGTATTGACTGTGTTTCCTCCACTGGATGGAATGACGGCAGCTTATCCAATGTGAGCCATTAGTGTGAGCAGTCAGCAGGTAAACTGGGACGTCCTAATAGTTAAAAGTGCTGGGATGAAAACCTGACCATATAAAACAAAGAGAAATATCTTAATATTAAGACCTCCAGGATCAATGCTTTTTATATGAACAATTAGGGATTTAGGGCTGTGGAGGCCGAGTAGAAAAATATCTGGATGGCTGCTTTTAAAAACAATACCGTAATTTCTACCAAGAAAGGTAAAGGGTAAAAGTGAAAAATGAAAACCCGAAGCAGCACCTTGGCTGTGACATCATGAGAATAAAGAGGGAACTCATATTCAAAGCGCTCCCTATTTTCTTGTTTGATTGTATTCAACAATTGAATATCAATCTCTCGCAGAATTTGTAGACGTTAATGGCCAAAGCTCTCAGAATAAATGCAGTGTTAATCAGTTTTGCAGAACAATAAAAAGTCTTAAAAAAAGAAAAAACAACAGCACAGACACTACGCTGTTGTCTCCATTGTGCTTCTTGCTGAACCTGATCAACAAGACAAGCAACACTGCAGCTCTGTGAGTTTAATTGACATCATTTTATGTCAGAGGGTCTATTTGGTTATCATTTTTTTCCTTTGTCTTTGTGACAATATTTAAGAAAACGTGGTGCAAACTTTAAATTAAAAAAAACTGATAACTTAAAAGCTGAAATAATATTCAACATAAAAAAAAAAAAACTTAAAATGTTGGAGGAGCCATATCCTGTATGATTGCATCAGAAGAAAAAAATAGCAGTCTGACCTGAAGTAAGTGACATCTCTAAGGGATTTAAAAGATTCTCTCATGAACACATTAGTATGCAGCAGGTTTGTGACCCTGAAAACACACAAAGGACTTACATCTTCCGACTCAAACACATGGCATATCATCTTGTACTGCTTCTTCGCCTCGGGTGCCCCGGGCGTGGTTTCGATACAGTCCTGGGAGGCCGTGCGCGGCATCCGGCGTCTCGCCATCAGCACCACGATGTTTCCAATGTCAGCGATGTAGGAAATGGTACGCAGCGCGTTGTCCATCATCGTTTCCTGTCATATCAACGAAAGTCGGGTCAAACTCGCCCACGGAAATTTCAACCCTGTTGTGTTTACAAGGACAATGTTCAACGCTCATAACTGTTTGACAGCACCTACTGTATTTTAACTACATATATATATATACACATTATATACATAGTGCATAATACATACATATACATACAGTTGACTGTAACTGGACTGTTAATTATATTGGTAGTGAAACAATATGTTTTACTAAATTCTATTTAATTGATAATTAATCAATTTAGTTAATTTCTATGATTATGTCCTGTCCAGTCAAAAGCTGGACACATTAAATAGACAAACAACTAAATTACAAATGAAAGATTTTGGCTGAGAGAATGATGCCCCGTGTCTCCACAGTTTATGTTGTGATAGTAAGTGGGGATTAATATTGGTAAATTAAAGCAACAGTGTGCAGCAGATTTTTTTCTTTCTATTGTCAAAGCTGCGTAATCCTTTTAGGACTGTGTTGGATGAAAGTACTCTTTTGATTGAATTACTGTATAATCGGATTAAAGTCTAATGATGCCACAATGAATTAGATCATTAGATTCAATACAAAAATAACAGGTGCAAAAAAACCTGTTTGTGTTTATAAAGAAACGGGATTTTAATCACGTAATGAACAATGTTCATCCAGTTAAATGATTGTTATTGTTGTGATGTTGATTTAAACTAGTGAACAGCAGTTTAGAGACAATATTAAGTCAAATCTACACATCTGCTGAGAGGAGCTTGTTCGTGTTTTTTGAATATTTGGATAACATACTAAATTAAGCGTTAAATTGAGTTCCATCCATCCATCTTCACAGCCGCTTGTCCTTCATACGGGGTCACGGGGGGCTGGAGTCAATCGCAGCGAACGCCGGGCGAGAGGCGGTTACACCCTGGATATTCACTTAATCAATCATGTATTTGAGTAGCCCAACTGTTGGTGTGCTGTAGCCCACCTGTGTAGTTGTTCTTATCGTGAATCAATGTCACAAACCCATCAAGCCTTTTAATGATAGAATAATAAATAACTTTTTTGTGAGGATCAGTACAAACTGGATGGCAAAAGGAGAAAGACATGAACTGCATTGCAGCACGCTGTTTGCCAGCAGGCTGACGAGACACACACACACACACACACACACACACACACACACACTAGAGTAGCTGAGACTGAAATACCGCAAATGACTCATGTATCAGATATACATTCAACTGCTGCTGTGAGCACAAATCTCTATTCGTGATCCCAAAAACTGCTCTTAGAAGCATTTCTCCTTTTGTCAAAGACTCTCCCTCCTGTGAAGGCTGCTCCACTCTGCTGCTCTGTGGAGCGCTATGCTGAGGTAAGACCGAGGAAAAGCTGCTTAAATAAATAATTAAGAAAACAAATAGATAATGATCCAGCAGATAAACGCGATTTTTCAATTGTAACAACATTCAAAGACTCAAACTCCAATGAGATTTTGGACTTTTTTGGACGTTTCTGAAGCACAGTTGCTTGGCATCATCTTATGATGAGATAAAACAGAAGCAGTTTGCTGCAGTTATGACAGCTATGACGAAACAGGTAACCCTACATGGATAATAAGTGTGTGGATGAAGGGACGTCAGGCTAAACAGCTTTCAGTCTTACGGGTGAGAAGAGACTCTTTGGTCGGAAACGCGTGCTGGCCGATCCTCACCTGCGAGTCTGCGTTGAGGACTTTGATCCTCTGGGTGGAGATGAAGAGATCGACCTCAGTGAGGGTTTGAGCGTCTCCCTCCGCACCCTGTGGCGAGAGAAAGGACAAACCAAAAACACAGACGAGTTGGTACCGTCATCTCCTCTGACTGTGATTGGGTAGAACCACCTCAATGGTCTCCGTGTTAAATGTTGGAAAGTAGCCTTAAAGTTTAGACATCCAAAACGCATGCATGTATAGTTGAGGGTCCAGCTGAGCTAATGCTTGTTATATGGACATGTAGGATCTGAAGGTGAGGTGCATAAGGCAGCAAAAACAAAGTTCTGGGCAGGAGGGTTAGTTCACATGGACGGTCCTGGCAGGAGGACAGCGAGCTGGTTGAGAACAGCTTAACACGGAGCCCATTTCCTTCCAATCACTCTGTGCTGAAGCTTAATCAAGTTCTATTGGATTTTTCTCAGTGAAACTAGTAGGATTTGAAATACCATTTAAACAAACATAACGTCTACTCAGCTTCAAAAGGTTTGCGTATGTTGTGTCTTTTTTTCCCGTACTGTACGGTTGGAGAGTAAAAAAGAATCACTTTTACACTGGATGCCACTAGAGCTTGTGTTAGTAGTTCATTTACCTCAAAATGATTTGCCCATATGTCATTACAGTCCTAAACATGCATTCATGAAGAATTTAAACATGTTATGAGTATTTATAGGACAAAAGGGACGATACGCAGAAACTGATAGGCACGAATGAAATGAGGGAGAAAAGGTGAGAGTGGAGGGAAAGTGGCCAAAGGGTCTTCCTTTTGCTCTGTTCATTACACACCGCCTTTTTCTTGATTTTGGCAGCCTTCTGTACCCTCTGGCAGGCAGACATGGCAGGCGTTGGGACAGGACAAGGTCAGCGGATATGGGAAGCACAAAAAAACAGGAGGAAGAGGAGGAGGAATCAAGAAGGTAAATAGAAGAAGGTAAAGACAGTAAAGTCCCCAACCAGAAACTCAGAAACAGGGAGACACAGCGAAAGATGGAGAGAGAGAGAGAGAGAGAGAGAGAGAGAGAGAGAGAGAGAGAGAGAGAGATGAAGATACGTGTGCGTATGTGTGTGTGGATATTGTCTGCACGGCCATGTCGGTTATGTGACAGGAACCAAAACAGCAAATAAGGGCAATAATTGCCTTTCCTCTTTTAAACACACAAAAAAAATCATTAGCTTGCAAATATGAATTTACAACGCAATCTTAGCATTTAAATAAAGCTCTGTTGGGGAAGTCTTAAAGGGCTTTGTCCAAGTTCTGAGTATTTTTTGGTTAGAATGTTTACCAAAAGAGGGACAGATGGTTAGGCTTCGATGTTCAAGTCACAGTCTAAACACTATTACAAGGAAAGTCATGCTGGAAAACAATCAAACTCTCAGAGGCAGGGGAGGGAATAAAGCCTAGAGCGAGGATTTAAACTGAGCACTTGGTTGTTTTTTTTCTCTGAGCTGCAGAAAAAACAACCCCAAAAAACCCAGATCAGATTGAGGCTTTTTTGGATTCAAACAGCGTAGATCAACATGTAGGAAGCTTTTCACAGCTAATGAGTTTGATTAGTTCGTCGGTAATTCTGGCCTTGCAGTGAAACCTGAACTTACTGCGATAATCTTTTGAAGCACTTTGTTATTTTTCTAAATCAACCCCACTGAGAGAGAGGCCCTTCTCTCCATCTGCCGTCGCCAGAGGAAAACTCCCACTACATTTCAGAGAGTGAGACTGGATGTTTGCCCGAGCCACTGTGCAGAGCTGCAGGTATTGAAGACAGTATTTGTTTAATTTTTTAAAAGCAGCAGAGAAAATGGCCCAAAGGGAAGAATCTTTCTGTGTTTTTTGTTTTGTATGGGTTCCTCCTCCGTGATCAGCTCTATTGGCAGACTGAAATCCGAGGCTTTCAGGAGCATCTTCTGCTCTGCTGAGGAGGAGCGGAGCAGGGAGGGAAAGACATCATGAACGATGAGTGAAGCTGCATAAATATTACATCAAACAGAGGCAACATCACGCCAACAAGAAAAGCATCAAAAACCTGTACAGCCTTGCTAGAATTGAACTGGTAAACACATACGAACCCTGCAGTGCGTAGTTCGGCGATACGCAGCCGGGTCTAAGTGCCTTTCTGTGCTTGTTTGGGTTTCTATGGGGATAATATATAAGCATGGCTGCCCCCTTACTGCATATGACGTCTAGTGAGTGTGTGTTGCGTGTCCTTTTAAATGTCAAAGATTAAATGTTTGCTGTACAGCTTCTCATGTTTTAACGAGTGACAAATCACAGAGATAATGGACGAGCTCTTGTTAGCTACCTGTTGCCATGGTTTCATCCCGAGGATCATTGTTGCATGGGAATGCGATTGTGCACGGCGTCAAGTGAGTGAGTCACAGTCGGTGAATCTAATCTCACATAGATCAGATAAATGGGGACTTCTGCCAGATGACATCGCCACTGTAGTGAAGAAGGCTTTCAAATGGAAACCAGCCAAAAGACTTTTTTGTCTTTCCGTTCTTTGTTGCAGAAAACCTCTGATGGGGTTGTGACCCGTCCGAGGGGAGTTATCAGATGTTGACAATGCGCCTGTTGATTGTGGCTAAATCTAAAAGCGAAGGGGATTTCTGATATGAATGAACGTGTTGGCAGGAGCAATTATGTGTATAATTCCAGGACCCCGGATCCACTCATGTCTCTCTGCTGCTACAATTTGACAGATATTAAAACTCGTTTTCAGGCTGGAAAAGGACCACTAACACTAAGTAGAGGTGAGATAGGTTACACTAGAGTGAAGCATGTGAAAGGACAGGTCTGAGTGACTTGAAGTATTACGACAGAGCCTTGATCTTATAAACCTGCCTGTAGATTAAAGGACCAGACTGTCAAAAGGAATCCGACATTGTGAGCAGTTTTACAGAACAAACCTGAAATCTTCCCTAGCATGAGGAACCCCCCCCCCACCCCCCCCTGCACCACAAAACTCCCCTCACAATATAATGAAATAAAACCAATAAGAAACGAAATCGATAAACAGTATCAATAAGAGAACTAGAATCTAAAAAACGGTATTCATCCTTCACTGGCGCGGACTGGAGTTCATTATGATACGATTTACTCTCTCACGTCATTCCAATGTTTGCGGGACAACGTAGAACCTAATCAGGCACCCTAACCTAATTCTTTAAGCGTAAGACACAGTACACAAACTATTCCCACCAGGCAAACACACTCATTGTAATATTTGACTTACACAGGAGGTCATTTAATATTTAGAAATACAGTCAAACGTGTGTTCTCATGAGAGCGAGATAAGAGAGACTGGTGTCTGGGTAGCGACCAGGCACCAAAACCCCAATGCAGCATTACGTCATTTCTTCACAAACACAGCGTCTTTTGATCGCACTAGTAACTAAAACGTGTGATATTTTGAGTAGCTGTTTCCGTAAAGTCAGACACAAGCACTCTAGACAAAAAAAAGAGTGACGGTCAAAGTGATTAACTACTATAAAATAATATGAGTCAAGCTCCTCTCTGCTGCACTGGTACCATCCAGGGTGTTTCCTTAGAACTGGACAGGATTATCATCATCACAGCAACATTAGTGAACAGCAGGCGTCAATGAGGGAAAAGTTAGGTTCACGTGCCAGCAGTCCTATTATCTATCCAGCGGCATCAAACTACGAGCACAGCGGCCACGTTGGGCCGAGTACTTTTGCCCTAAAGGACCCGTCGTGCCTTATTTATGGCCATAATGTTTTGCTCTAAACCAAATTAGCACTGATGTCCATGAAAATATCTTTAGGACCAATCTGGACCAGACTTTAAGATAACAGTTAAGTTAATGAACATCTTAAACAACAATGAAATAACAGGGGCTCACTTGTTTGTTATTAGGTCTATTTTCCCTTTCTACACATGGACAATGATGTAAGAAAAATGAATTTAGAAACCATATTAGCAATACAATCAAACACATAATTTGCCATGTACAGCCACTGGATATGTTGGCTGCATTGCCTTTTTTGTATTTTAAATGTTATCAATTCAGCCTGAACTACAACACAATTACAGTAACGTTATGCGTGCTTGGGGAAAGCAGTCGTGTAAAATGCTCGTCAGATCGGGGCAGCAGAGAATCGGCACTGATCGGATCAACGTTCACTGGTGAACGAAAATGCTCTTCAGACTCAATAGTAAAGGAATTATGGCACCTGGCAAGGCAATGAGAAACTAAAACTCTGTGCACCTTCCTGTTTGCACTCCCACCTCATCTGAAGAACCGTAAAGATTAGGGAAATTAGACCAAAGTGCTCTGTAGAAAGGCAATTTTCACACACAAGGATAAAACCGCACACAGTCATCTTGTGTTTGGTGATATCGGAGTAAAATTAATGAAATAAATGAATAAAAAAATTATGCCGAAAAGCAAAGAGCATTGGCTGGTTATTCCTCTCTACTGAAGACAACAGCCATGAAACAATATGTACGTTTTTACTCTGCAGTGTTTACTCTCTCTCGGTCCTGAAAATGTTCCTGTGGTGGAAAAATTTAGTTTGATACCTGAGATTTGTTACAGAAAATGCAGGATGTTCTATATTTAAATCCGGGAAACCCCAGAGGAGGAAACAAACGTTCAAACATATCCAGCCGATTGCGGGGAATGGATGCATATGGTTAACTTTGGATGCGTGTTTTTGCATGTCTGAGTCGCTTTGCTTTGGGTACCTTGACCCTGCTGACCGCTTCCTGGGCCTGCATCATGCGTATGTTCTTGGAGGGGTTCCTCTCAGACAGCAGCTGTGTGGAGCCCAGGTAGTTAGCAGCAAAGATAATTCCATCAATCAGGTCTTCTGGCTCACAGGGTCCTGGTACTGGGCCAGGGAGAAGCAGAGCATGGTGATTAACAGCGAGACATGGGGAAGGACAGAGTTCGGTTAGATGGAAGGGCTCGGCTGTGTGGCGGGGGGGAGAATATTGCAATGACTGCAGTCAACGAGCAGCATGGAGAAACGGAGCCAAGCGCCGTTGCTCTGGAGGGGGAGATATGGCAATAACAGGCTAAATGGAAATCAGCACTACTGGCTGTGAGCTGATGAAGGTGCAGTGCTGGTGGGAGGCTGGGCTGAGATTAATCGGTGTCTCTGATATGGAGATGTGGACTCTCAGACACCCACTCAGGGACGCAACGTGCTGTCAGGCTCTCAAGGAGCAGACAGGCAGCTAAGCCCTTCATACATTATTAGGCCCACTGGAAGAGTTATATCAGCCGTGTGTAATGACCGACAGAAGACAGATGTGCAGGCGGACTGACTTACCGTCGACGAAGCTGGGGAACGATGCAACCTTCTTTGTTGGCTGGAAGAAAGAGACACAGGATATGCCCGATGAATGACGGTTAACAAGTGTCATTCCGTTCCATCGAACATGTGTCACTTCATGACATCAAACAGGAAAGCCTATGCATCTAATTTGAGGAGCACCTGCCTGGGAAGCCTGCTGATTCACTTCAAGTTAATTATTAGAAAACACAGATGAAGAGAGAACTTCAAGTAGCCTGTAAAACCTTTTAAAAGTCTTTTTATGGGGAAGGTTATTGCTTTTTCATCCGCGATTGTTTTACCCTGAGATGATGCCGTCCTACATTTTGTCAATCGCCATGACAACAGATGCTGTGTGAACAGTATAAGAGACTTGACACCTACCGTTTTACATGACACGCATGCACACAGTTACAGATTGACGTACACCTCAGCGCTTCTGCTGAGAAACCGGGTATAAGCGCCTTGCTCAAGGGCACAGACAAAGCACACGTAGAGAGGGTGCAAAGCCTAATTCATCCACTTGGACAGCGCTGTGGGAGGTGGAAGCGAGAGGAGCAAAAGGAGACAGGATGTGGAGTGATTCAAACATTCACTTTACTGGATCCATTTGATCCTCCAACCTGCTCACTATGCATTCACAAAGTTGACTTTATTTAGGGCAGGGCGGCGTGGGTAGAGGGTAGTAGTAGTGGGTAGAGGCAGCGAGTGCCGACATCTCACTGAAGAAGGCTGTTCATAAAAACGCAAACAGAACCCCGCTGCCCGAGTACCAGGACGCCATCCTACGCGGCGACGTGTTGAGTGTAAGGAGCCGCGCGTGGGCCAAAGGTCAACCATCTTACCTCCAGCACATTGTTGTTCTCCAGGGGAACGTTGAGGTCGGAGCGCTGCGGTTTCCTGGGCTGCTCCGCGCCGTTGCTCACCTGGCCAGTAAACACAGGAGAGCAGGTGGGCGAGCATACGCGTTAGAAGAGTCGAACACATGTACAACATTTCCTTTCTGCTTGTGCTGCAGGTTGGAGTTGGAGGCACAGGTTCAGGTTGGAGGAAACAGGCCGTGACTTGTGTAGGTGGGCCTGCTGAAAGCTACTCTCTGGACTTATACCAAATATACAGAGTTTATCTGTAATTAAATGGAAAACTAAAATCCTGTCATGGGTGAGGCAGTCGTTTCTACATTGTTGTCGAGCAGTGAAAAAGGGGAATTTCTTGCTGCTGTGTGTCGGCATAGAGATGAATTACCATAAGCATAAGACTACTGGTATCCTTTGCTAGGAGAGAAAGAGAAACATTAAGTCCTGATCAGTATTCATCATGCTGCCACCAACAGTTGTGCAAACAACCATTAAGTTAATTAGCCCTGTGTTGTTGTTTGCTGTTAACTGTGTTGCTCCACAAAAGAACATTCAGGTACCGACTCCAGGCAAACCTCGTACACGCCCTCGTCTGTAACAGAACATCTGAGAGGCTACATGCAGAACTTTTATCATCAATTAATCAGCACTGCATCAATTTCAAACTATTAGCATAATTAGCATTCACAAGAGCACCAGGAGCACAGGCTTCTTCTGCTGTGAACGCACATTTATTTAATATGGAAGACGAAGATATGATTTTTATATTTGAAAAACCGATGAATATACATGTTTGGCTTTGTGTTTACTCAAATGGAAATGGCTAATTTGATTACGGCACAAATAAAAACAGTAAGCAAGTAGGAGCAAAGTCTAAAAGATAAGGTTTCATAAAGCACTTGATTATACCAACATGTCACACATAATTCAACACCGACTGATGTTTGCAATATGTGACACTACAGTACTGGGCAATCTACTACGCATCACAGCAACCGAGTGTGTGTCTAGATGACCTCTACGTCCCTCTGTTTCATAATTCTTCTTATCCATAATCTCTTGATTCACATAGTGAACTGCTAAGCTCATATTTAAGTCATTGCTGCCCTGGTTTATTCAAAGGCTGGATTGCTCCACACTGAACATTGTATTTGATAACGGGGGACGTGGCGACAGAAATCGTCGCGGTATTGCCATCTGACTTTTAAAAGATGGGGGAGCTCCGCGTGAGTCTATTGGTGCGCCCGTACAGGTTGTGTGTTGGGTCGTCGTGGCGCAAGGGGTAGAGCGGGCGGGAACCACAAGGTTGGTGGTTCGAGCAAGTGTCACACACAGCGAGTGTCCCTGAGCAAGACACCTAACCCCTAATTGCTCCCTGGGAAAAAATGTGAAAACCATGGGTTTAAAGTGTAATGTAAGTCGCTTTGGATAAAAGCGTCTGCTAAATGACCTGTAATGTAATGCAAATGTAACGTGTGCACTCATCCAGAGCCGTGAGGGGGGGATGGGGAGAGGGGCAGCTCAAGGTAACTGGAGGGGATGGTGGAAAGGCTAAAGCAACATGGAAAAGCAACATGTTGTGTAACTCATCTCTAGCTCCTCACCACCGCGCTGCCACAGATCAATGGCACAGCTTAGCACAATAGCGTCGTTGCCGTTTTCGGTGTATCCCTGTCTGCCTTTGTCTATAGACGGAGCCCCAATTCAACACATTCAAATTCCACAATCTTTGCATTGTAAATGCAAACCGAGTATTATCAACACCTTTTAAAAGGCTTTAAAGAGGTTATGCGACACGTGATTAACAATGTCTTGACAAGGGGGGAAATGTTTGTTAGTCACCTTTCAGTCTTCAGACTACAAAATAAGAATTTCCTCTGTTTGCAGTGCTTTTACACTGTGTAATTGACAAATAAGTATGACTTTGTATCCTTTCGATATTGGGAACAATAGCACATGGCCTGGAGGTTTTACTTCAAAAAGAATGAGTGATGCAGTCTACTCAATAAACAATCCATCCCATCTTTTGAGTAAACGGCAGACAGCAGGCGGGAAGTAAACATCTCTATGTTGTTGTTTTACTTTTTCGGTGATCCACCCAAAACTCCCCATGCAAGAGTGATCCTGATTGAGCTCACCTGCTCCTGTGTCCATCTCTGCCGGTCCTCGGGCGAGCGCGCATGTGCCTTGATGCCCCTCTTGAGGTCCGGGGTGTTGTGGTGCACGGAGGGCAGGTTCAGGGACTTGGGCCTGCTGTCATGGCGATGGGGAGCTTGCGGGTAAGGGGCTGCATCCGGCTTCGGGTGAGAGTAGTCACTTGGTGCGGGGTCCTGCAACAACTCCTCTGGGCTTTGGTCAGTGCCACTGCTGAGACTCCCCATGCTCATGCTCATCTTGATCTCCGCAACAATTTGATCAATGTCCTCCTCCGCCTCCTCCCCCGTCTCCCCCTCGACCACCAGCACCTTGCGGCTACAGTATGGAGAGACTCGCACGGAGTTGCCATTGTCCTCTGGGGCGTAGTAGTCTCCGGTGTAGCCCCTTCCATGTCTCTGCTCCTCGCCACCCCCATCGTCCTCATCTTCTTCCTCGTGGTGGCAGTACTCCTCGCTCTCTGCCTCCCCCTCTTCCTCTCGGGTGCGCAGGGTGTCTTGCATGCAGGGTTGGTGGTGGAGATGGTGGTGATGGTCGAGGATGGGTTCTGGTCTTCCGTTGTATATCTGCTCATCTGGATCCTGCTCCACCACCTCGCAGCGAACCTCTCCCTCTCCTTCAGTCCACTCCTCCTCCCTGGGCCTCTCAGCCTCCACCCACTGCTCCTGCCTGGCCTGGCCTCCCTCTGTCCACTCCTCCCTCGCCTCCTCGTCTCCCTCTGCCCACTCCTCCCTCGCCTCCTCGTCTCCCTCTGCCCACTTCTTCCTCGGCTCCAAGTCCACATATGCCCATTCCTCCCTCGCCTGCACGTCTCGCTCTGCCCACTCCTCCCTCGCCTATTCGTCTCCCTCTCTCCACTCCTCCGTCGCATCCTCGACACCCTCGATCCAATCCTCCGTCGCCTCCTCTTCTCCCGCTTAGCACTCGTCTGTCGCTCCCTCGTCTCCCTCTCTCCACTCTTCCCTTACCTCTCCCTCGCCGCCTATCCACTCTTCCCCCACTGCCCCCTCTCCCTCCACCCATTCTTCCTCCCTCACCTCCACCTCGCCTACTCCCTCTCTCTCCTCGGCCTCCTGGCGTTCGTCAGTAGGAGCTGCGTCCGGCTGGATGCTGGTGACACAGCTCCCCTGGCTGTGGCTCTGCTTGTGTTTACAGTCGGCCTGGCCGCTGCCATCCAGCCCTTCCAGGTAGCTGTCATCCTCTGGGCAGTAGCGGATGTAGTAAGTTACCCCTTCATCTTCCTCTGCCAGCCCTGCAGGGATTCATCATCACAAACAGGGGTTCATTAATATCTGGGTCTACTATTTAAATGTCAATAAACACTGAACTGGCAAGCATTCACATGTACGTTATGGGGATGGGGACCAATGATCAGTTCTAAATTGAAAACCGGTGCCAAATATGTAATATGTATACAAGTGCGATTAATTTACTTTGGGTTACTTGGACAATGGACGAATGGACACTGGAGGGGTAATAATAAACAAACATCGCATCACCATGATCATAGTCTTCCTCTTCATCTGAGGTGTTGTTAATGTAGTCCGAGCTGGAGTCGTCATCCAGGCTGTCAGCTGCACCGTGGAAGTCTGCCCGGCCGCGGTAATCCTGCTCGCGTTCATGTTCTGGTGTGGTGGGTGTCGCCGGCCGCTGGACCTCCGGTCCTGCATCTGCTTGGTTGCTGTACAGCTTCACTTCAACATCTGCATTTACATCCACTTCTGAATGCTTGCAACTCGGGGCTTGAGACTTGGGAGAAGAATATTGTGCCTTACAGGACCGGGGGAGGGGTTTCGGTTCACTGGACTCTTTTGGGTAGCGAACCGGGCGTTGCCGAGGGGGGAGGGCTTTCAGATCACATGACTCCGTAGGGCGAGGGGTGGGACAGGAGGCGGGCCCTGGAGCACTCATTCGGTTTCCCCCGCTGGTCCCCGGCCTCTTCCTATGAGCCATGACTGGCTGCTTACAGGCCATGCATTGTTACTGGCTCGATCCTAGGAAACACATGCAGACACAGTGTTAGAGCAACTTTAAATAGAACTGTTAATCCAACCAAGCTCATACACAAGAGTGGATTATTTTACAATAGAAATAGATCAAATATTATGTTTAAGGCTAAAGACGCTTTGGAATTTTAAAGACGTGTGCAACTGTGTTTTGGCAGAACAAGAATAAATGTATACAGTTCCACATCTAAATAGCAAATCTGCTCACAGCAGATGCCGCTTATCAAACACGACATAGTCCTCCATTTATCGTTTTCTGTACTCGGCAAACAGCTGCAACACATGTTCAGTGCCTGAGAAACCGATCTATTCCTGTAATTGAACACTCTCTTTTTCACATTGAGAGGAGCTCTTTTGTGTGTATTTAGCGCAACGTTGGCTCCACATAGAGGGGGCTCAACATATGCCTCGGACTCCGCTTAAGAACAATAGACACAAAGACCAGCGCCATTCGAAGCACACCGCCATCACATAGACCTAATGGGAAAGTTCAAAAGAAACAATCAATAGTTTAATTAAGTCAACTCCACCAGTACTGCACGTGTTCCCTGATACAGTTTGGTTTTATGGCAGAAGTGAAGACTTATTTTTCCTTTAGTAGCAAGCCGGTTGAGATTGCTCAACGATGGGGACTAAATCCTGGTTAACAAGTGCAGGTGAGAGGACAAGCAAGTAGCTTTACATCCTTGCATGATACAAGATAACACAAATGCAGAATTTCACCATCAATAGCCAAACTAATAAAATCATTAAAGTTGATCACTGTTAGATAAACCACATGGCTTTCTAGCCTTTGTTCTGTTGCAAAAAAGCAAAGGCTACACAACTGCAGCAGTGAACAGGTAGAATGGGAAAAGTAAGAATAAAATACTTGACCTAAGACTAATATATAATGGATTTTATTAAAAAAGGTACCCAATCATCATGAACAAATTCAAAAACAACCAAAAAATAACACACAAACCAGCATCAACACATACACACACCTAATGATTCCAAAATGAATGCCAGAAGACGTCTCTGCTTTCCAACAACTTTCTAACAAGTATTTTCCTTTCCGTCAAGAATACTCTGTCATCCATTGTGTTGCCATCCCCACCATCCAGTTGTCATGAACAACTGCCCTCAAGAGGCGTGTTGTTGCTGCTTTTCCCTTCCGGGGAAATGCAACAACCAGTATGAACACGGACTCATATGTCATTCCACAGGTCGGCAAGTCAGAGGACAAAGATTACATCAGCACGGGGGCCACTTGCTGCTGTCTAACGGCACATACATGATATACATAAATATGAGCACTTCTAAGGATGTTACTGACCACAAAGTACTTGTAAATGCACACACAAATACACAAGACTACACACGTTCTGTCAAACATGTATGTACTGAACATATGTAGTGTATACCTACTGAAGCAGTGTTGATCATTTAACAGCACATGAAAAGCAACTTCCGTTTGTCTGGAAAATCATTCACTAACTGTATCTCTTACCTGAGGTCCTGAGCTTGAATGTGGGATACAATAGCACTGGGATCTGCTGGAACAACGGCCCCATCCGCCCTCCTCCCCTCCCTCCCTCCCTCCCCTCTGGCCTCGCTCCTCCCTTCCCCCACCAGCTGCTACACAGCATGCACCTCTCTGACTCCACCCCTCTTCCTCCTCCACGCTACATCCCAGCATCCTCCTGCAGACTCAGCCCCGCCCAATTCTGGCAGTAAGGATTGGTAACTATTGGTAACTGCATCCCTTAGGGACTGATAGCCCCTAACCTCCTCTTTGTTGCCAATAGCACAGGGTGGATTTCAAAGCCTCGGTTCTTTATTTGGGTTTCATAATCCGCTTTTTAATTTTAAGTTAATTAAGTTTAATATATATATATATATATATATATATATATTTATTTATTTATTTGAGGTTTCATTCTCAGGTTTCTTTTGTTTTATTACCAAAAAATATAATAATGATGATAATATGATAATATATATCAGTTGGGGTCCTTGGTGATTAAAAGGCACACATAGTATGTTTAATTTAATTAATTTAGCTGTGATATTTAGACCTAGAAATGAACATAAACGAAACATTTTAGCTCATCTGGACTTGATTCTTTACATCAACAGTTCTAGGTGTCCACACAGGTGCCTCTATGAGGTAGTCAGCGAGGGCGATCTGCTTCAGATCACTGATGTCGCTCATTATATTTCTCTGCAACTTTTCTTCTCTTCTTTTACAGGCAACATATCATTCATTCACTAAGAAAAGCAAAAATGACAATGACATTTTTACATCGGACAGAATCATCCTTTATGTTATCACTTAAGGAAATTGGCTTTGGTCATGCACTCCATCTCATTTTTCAAAGCATAGCCCAATTTATTCACGTTTCTTTCCCCCAATTATTCCATCTTCTCTGCCCACCGTGTGCTATTGGCAAACAATAAATATCGGTGTGTTCTTGTTCTAAAAGCTTTGCTTTTAAAAATTGCATTCTTTTTTTTTTTTCACGAATCAAACTCAAACTAAGCAAATTGCTATAACACAGTCAGGACTTTAAAAGTCTTCTTTCACAACTCTATTACAACAAAGTAAGACCTTTAGAAAAGATTGTGTGTGCACATTGGTCTGGGTTGGTCTCTTCATGCATAGGTTGTCGCTCTGTCTAACATATGCGGGAACATGCTCCAGCCCCATGGGGATCTTAATAGAAGCAGTGGCCACAGAACACACGTAACAGAGCTTCTACATAAATGCGCTGAAATATGGTCCCCGATTCAAGCGATTACCTTCATTACTGAAAAAAGGTCACACACACACACACACACACACACACACACACACACACACACCTAATAGCAGCCGGCAGCATCCAAATTGTGCGTTTTATGCTGCAGCTGGGCTCCACATTCAGACATATTCAACGCTTTAATTAACCCTGGGACCCTGCTTTGGCGGACGCACGTCTTAATCGTGTGTGTTTGCACGAATACGCGTAGTGTGTGTATGAAGAGGTAAAGAATAGAGCACAGAGGGGGAGAGAAGCAGCAGATGGCTTAGTCAGAGTGAGGGACTCGGTAATACTAACGTCGCTGTTTTGACCTCTAAGATACAACCTCTGTTCACACCAGAGATGTAGACAGTCAGGCTTAACAAGGACGAGACAAGGCAGGACAGAAGAGTGTGTGAGAGCCACGAAGAAAGAAGATCATCAGCCGAACTGTAACATGATTACTCGAATTGTCTGCAAATGGAGGAGGACAGAAATAAGTAGCTCTATTGATTAGCCCATAAATGAATAAATCCTCTTTGGGTGTGAGGATGAGAATCACAGAGGTATTTACAGTAACACCTGGAAATCACTGGTGTGTAGTTAAACTATAGGTTATACAAAGGATTGAATGGATTAAGTTAGTCTTTAGCCTTTTGTCTGATTCATTACTCAATTAATTGCATAGACATCAATTGTATTACAGGAGCCATATAGATTTGCATGAATCAATAGCAGAACATCTACTTTATTATGGAACTTGTTTGAATCATACACATAGTTGAACAATTGAAGCCTTAGTCTACACAGCCAACTGCCGTGTTATGATACGCTTTCTATCGGTTTGACTGACTGAAGGTAAATTCTGCTGCCTGACAGAATCAGACAACACTGATGACCGTAATTTGCTTTCACAATTGTGGTTGTGATGGAAAAACTAAAACTTTTAAAACCATTAAATTCTTGGAGCTAAATGGTTAGGGTCAGACGAGCAATGATGGAATACGCACACGTTCAATGCGTTTCCAGAGAGGAAGTTAGAATGGAGAGAAATATGCTTCTCCATTTTAATTTTTTCAAGAGGGAGACCTTGCTACTCCGCACAGAGGAAATCGCTCTTTCAAGTGAAGAGAGATTACTCTGTCCTCTCTCCCTGTTTTGCACAAAACAAAACACAAAGATTTGTTTGTGAAGGTCTGGCTGTATTGATGTCTACGAGTCAATATTTTCTTCATATAACAAGTCTTCAATACAGCATGATTTCCATTTAGTAAATTATTTTCGCCTTTCAGAGTAAAACCTACCAGAAAGTGGAATCTTTTTATAGCAGGGTGGGATTAGTGTGATTGACAGGTCTATGTCACTAAGTTACTATACGTTTTAAATCCGTTCATTTGTTGTAAAAAAAACAAAAAACACACACATAGCAACGGCCGTAATCCTAGATGGCCTCTGCGAAATCACAAAACGGCCACTGAAATATCCGCATTCATATTGACACATATAATAGACATATTTTCCTATTAGCGCGCCGGTTTGGAAAATTGGTTGGAATATTTGACGGCTTCCTGCAACACAATGATGATTGTTTGATGCCTTACTAAGTTGAATTTATCTCCAAGAGGCCATATTGCATTCTGTGTAAAAAAAAGCTTCTTCCCTTTCAACTGGGAGTCAACTATTAACTGCGGCCAAGCTCCTCCTCTTATATAATTAGCGGCATAACTGCAAAAAGAACAACCCTTTTCCTGATGTAAAATCCTCATACTTGTTTTCCAAAGACCATCTACTTTGTTTTCACATCTTTCGTCATCTTTATTGGGGTCAGCTATGATTAAACGACACTGTAAACACTTACACACTACCCTTACAGCATTCCCACATTGTTAAACACGTACTGATAGATGCGATGCGTAATGTTCCGATCATGCCGAGTTATGTTGCTTGCAAAACAAAGAATAAAGGCTCTATCACAAAGAGACAATGAGTTTCCTCTCAGCTGTCTCATTGACATTCAGCATTTGTTCTCCTTCCTCTCTCCCACTCGCTTCGGGACGACGGCAAGAGGAGCAAAGCCGGAAACGGGAAGAGAAGGAAAGCGGAGGCTCGGTGAGCAGCGGGAATGGCAAAGGACCACAGAATGAGCCGCTTGCTCACTCGCCATTCTGCCTGCCAGCGTCTATCTAGCCACCTCGAGACAGCCCAGACACACCCTCCTCCACC